GTCCCAGCACAAGAAGGCAAAAAGAAAACAACATGAAAGATTGCACAGTGAGTTTTGGTAAAGTTTATCAAGAAGGCTGTAAACACATTTCTTGGTTATTTTTTTCCAAGGCCATGGTCCTGATGGAGCCAGAGGTCCCTTCCTACCACAGCTGGGTGACCAGTGGGCACCTACCTGTATGGCTTGAGTTTTTCCAAGCACCTTTTTTTGGTGGATTTCTTCAATTAGGCAGCAGCTTGTGCTGCAGAAGGTTCAGCCTCAGTTCTTTCAGAGTGGAGAGACAGAGCTGTTGGGGCCTCCCAGACCTGGGGAGCAAAGACACGAGCATTTTTCAGCCTTCACTCCAGTTGGGTGCCAAAACTCAGTTTGGAGTTTTAGGGAACTCAGACAGGCTTAATTTCATCCTACTGCCATGTTTTGAGTTTTGAGCTGTGCATTCCCAGCTGGCCCAAGGCAGGGAACAGCAGCAACAACTGCATTTGTTGGGGTGCCAGCCAGGAATAAAAGAGAAAGGTTTTGTTCCAGAGTTAACCCAGGAGGATCATCTGCGTGGAGCTGGATGAACACTCTCAATGAACAGCCTTCCAAAGTTTGGGAGACACATCTTGGAATGGATTTAGGAAGTGAATAGTTGCTTTTGTGTTGGGCTGAGGGAAGAAGAGCCAAGAACCCTGTGGAGTTTTCCCGTGTGTCAGAAGACAAATGTCCTGTCACAGTGTTGGCAGCTCTGCCACCGAGTGGCTTTTAGGCTGAAATCCAGCCCTTGGGGCACAGCCAGGACTGCTTGGAAGCCCTTGCTGGTTTTGTACAGGAGTAATCCCATGGGATGGATCACAGGGATGAACCAAAGCCCTGCTAACGGGGGATGATCTTCTCCCTGGGTGACTGCACATCCCCAGGGATGGAACCCAGCCTTTCCCACCTCCTTTGGGTTGGGCACATCCTTGCTTTTGTACCAGGACAGAGACTCACTGGGGATGTTTTAGCACAGCTGCTTTCCCAGAGTTTGGCAGCTGGTGTTGGGCACGTTGAGCTCTCTGGGAAAACGTGTCGCGTTCGGAGCCGGCCGGAATAGCTGCAGACTCCAAACAATTCCCCACAGTCCCTCCCCAGGAATAGGGTCTGTCAGCCCCTACAGTGTTCCACAGCTGAGGAGTGTGGAACACAGCCAGCAAAAGTCACTTCTCCTCACCAGCAGGAGCTGCTCCTCCTTCCCCTGTCAGAGCCCAGGGGGAAGCAGGGAAGGGAGACTGGAGAAGGTGCAGGGCTGCTCCTCATCCTGTCACCTCATGGCAGTCCCAGAGCTTTTCTGCTCCACCATTGGGATGGCTGTGGATTAAAATAATCAGCTTTATTGGCACTTGGGGTTAAAACTCAATTTCCTGAAGTTAGGGATGTGCTTTGCCTCGTTGTGCCTCTGGAGCTGCTGTCCCTGCCTAGAGGAGGTGACAGGGATGTTTTAAGATCTTCATTGCTGACGAGGTTTAAGGAGCAGTTGGAGAGGAACTTCTTGGAAAACTCTGGGTTTGCTTGATGCTGTTTTGTTTGGCAAAACAGTCACTTCTTGATGAGCTGGAGCTGCATTTGCTGTGATTTCTTCTACCATAAATAATGAATGCATTGAACCCAGTGTTTGCTTTTCTATATGTTCAGGCTTTTTCACAGATCTCACACAGCTGTAGAAAACGAAATACAATTTTTTGCACCTCTTGCTGTGCTGATCAGAGATTTCCTTGGAGTTTTCTGCTCCCCTTTGCCTCCCTAACATGTGTTTTCCCACTTGGAGCAATTTGCAGCTCAGCTGTTTTGCTCTAAGCTCTCCCTTGAGAGCTGAGGCTCCATTTTCCTTTCAGTGCAAGTACCCACATGGAAATAACCTTCAAAACACTCATTTTTGTATTCAGCTCTTTCAATCATACTGGCAGGTTTGGGAGGAAATCAAGGATCTGTTTGATGAATCCATTTAATATTGTCCTGCAGAGAGCAGAGGTGTGTTTTTATTGACCTGGAGAATCGAGTCCTGTAAGGCCTTTTCTTATGAGACTCAAATATTTGGCTGCATTGTCACTTCTGGCTGCTCAGGAGGATATTGGCCCATCATAAACCTGGGATATTAATGGGGTAATTCCCTGATATACTGTAGCTGGAGTTTGTTTTCTCAACAAGCTGATTTTCCCATTCCCTGCTCTGTTGCTGAGTTTAAGTTGTAATCTCTTCTCGTGGTAAAATTTGGAATTTGTTCAGAGCTCACGGGCTATTTCCCTGGTTTTTATGGACTTGGTCTATAGTGGATGTCTCCCACTACCCTCCCCTGGATTGCATAATTATCCATTAAAAAATACTCCCTCAATTTGGGAGTGTAATGGTGCAACCATGGTAAAATCCATCCCCTTTTCCAATGCTATTATCTTCTCCCATAAGTTTATTCCTCATTTGGGAATGCTGGAATCGGTATAATGAACCTTCATTCTATACTTAGGCCCAAACATCACATAATTCCTTTTCAGTGCTTCCTGTCTGTCTGCTGTTGTTGTGGTTTGGACCTGTGTGTTTCCAGCAATAAAAGTGCCCTTCCTGAGGAAAAAAAAAGGTGTTGCTGAGAGGATGAAAAGTCCTATTTTTCTGCATTTATTTGGCCAGGTCTCTCTTGTTACCATTACATAGATTCAGCTGAAGCTACTTTTTTTAATAAAAAGGAGGCAAATAGTCCCAGAATAATTTAGGTTGGAAAAGACCTTTAAGATCATTGATTCCATAGGTTCCCTCAACTTCCAGGGATGGGCCATCCACCTTTTCTCTGGGCAATGGTATATTTTGGGTTCTATTTACCACTCAGAAGGAAATGCTTCCAGCAGCTCCCTTGGCACCTCATTATCCACATTCCTGGAATCAGCCCGGAGCACTGGGAATGTCAGACCAACACTGGGAGCACAGGACTGTGTTCACACCAGGTAGTGGAGTGTGGGGAAGCAACTCCTGAGCAAACTGTTCTTGGAAACAGCTCTACCCTCTACTCTTTCATGTGGGTGTGTTGTTAATTAGTCTGTGGAGGACAAGTGGTTTTAATTAAAGCAGGTGCAGTGCTGCTTTCCTGCCTCTGGAATGAACATTGTGTCTGGGTCTCGCTCAGCACCACTTGGGAATATTGATGAACAGCAGGTTTTTAGGGAAAGCAGGGAGACAGAAACCAGGGCTATTGCAGAATCCCAGGCTGAGGGAGGTTGGGAAGGGCCATCTGGAAGTCACCTGGCTCAGCCCCCCGTTCAGGTTGCTGGTTTCTCAGGATTGTGTCCACCTGGCTTCTGAATATCTCCAGGGAGGACAATTCCCAGTCTTGCTGGGTGGGCTGTAAGGCAGTGGAGATACAGCTTTAAGGTCAGGGTCCTTGCTGGAGGTTTGGAGACCTGATTCCCTATCCCTCTTCCTGCTCCAGACTGAATTCCACCTTGTTCTGGTGGCCCTGGGTCAGTGGGCTCCTTGTTGCTGTATCACCCTCTTGTTCCAGCCAGCAGGTCCAGCCTGGCCCTGTGCTGAGGGCAATGCTGCCAAACAAGGGGAAAAGGTGCCTTTTTGGCAAAAGAAAACCAGCAAAGTCAAGTTTAAACCCCCCAGTGAAGTCTTCAGTACCTCCTGGAGTGGCTGGGTGCTGGTCTGTTGGTGCCCCGTGTCCCTGGCAGCTCCGTGTTTCCCGTGTCCGTGTGTGGTTTCCAGCTTTTCCCCGGAGCTGGTCGGAGCTGACCTTCTCTGCCCTCTTTTCATGTTGGATTTCACTGCTGGTGGGCTGGAAGCAGACCAGGAAAGCTGTGCCCAGCCATAGGTGTGAGTGAGCAGGCCTGTGGTGCAGATGGATTCCGGAGGATCCGGGGTGGATTCTTGGTTGGTCCCAGCTTTACAGGTGGTTCTCCAGAGGTTTCACTGCAAGTGGTCTCCCGTTATCCCAAAATACATCTTGCTGGAAAGGGATCACATTTCCACTGTTTGCTGCTTTTCTTGTTCAGCCCCAGAGGATGAGGGCAAAATATCCCTGGAAGAGAGAGGAGAAGTGCAGCTGGAATTCTGTCCTGTCTAAAGGGATCCATTAACCGAGGTTTCTCTTCTGTTTGCAGCGTTCCCACATTCCAGAGCCTTCCCGAGGAGATACTCAGTAAGCTTGCAGATGTCCTTGAAGAGGTAAGTGCTTTTAATATTGAGACTTTGAGAGTCCAGAACCTTCCAGTGGCAATATCCAGGCTCTGTTGTTCCCCAAGAACAGCTTCCCAGTTGTGCTCCCAGTTGTGGTTGACTTTTCTAAGCACGTTGAGATCATGAGAGGAACTGTTTGAAAAATCAATCCAGTTTTGAAAAGGGTTTATTTTTTTTTTTTTAAATTGAATTTTGATCAGGTTGAGGAGTGAAAGAATCACTTCCTGTGGTGCCCAAAAGGGGAACAACCTTCTCCAGCCCCTGGTTCAGTGGTGGGGACAAGAGGGGAATGTGCAAACAGCATCTCCTTCCAAATTTGATGTTAGAGGGCAGTTTAAAGGAGGTGTCATGGAAAAGGTGCTTTGGGAAGAGTTACAGCAGAGAGGGGAGTGGTCTGGATGGAGCTGGGCTTTGCCTACCTGGGGTCTCATTAATGTCAGGCTTTTATAAAGTCTTGACATAAAACAAACCCGAAGAAACCACCCACAAAACAACAACAAAAAGAGCACCCAAAACACCAAGCAAAAAAAAAACCTGAAACCCACAAGAAACCCCTTTCACCCTGCCCAAAAACCCTGAAAAAGGACAGCACAGTCCTGGAGTGGCACTGCAGGCACTTTGCTGCCAACGGGGGAGTTGATTTGAATTCCTTTTTTCCGAGTGTTGTTCCCTCTCTGCCTTTTCCTTCAGTGTTCAGATCAATCCTGTGGCTCCAGCAAACCAGCTGCTTGTCCCAGGGAATAATTGCGTGTTCCTAGATAAGCTTTATCCCCTTTCCTGCTGGAGAAAGGAATGGGGAGTGGATCTGCCAGGAATTCCATTTGCCTATCTCCAAACCCCCTTCCCAGCCACAACCACAGCTTTGTTTCCTTGGATCACATAACCAGCATTAAGCTCCTTATCGAGAGCTAAGGAAGGGAATCGAGGCAATAAAACTTCTGCAGGGACATTTAAAGTTTTATGGAAGAGAGGGAAAAAAATGTCTTAATAAATATCCATGTAGAAATGAGGCACAAAAGTAGGGATAACTCTGGCCCCTGAGGGTGGGTGGTGTGGAAAAGAAGGCTGGTTATCCCAGTCTGGCCCGGGATACAGCTCCCAGTTTCCTACTTGGAATCAGCCTTTTTGTCCTCTCTGAGTTGGTCTTTGATTTAAGGGACCCTGTTTTACATAAGAGAAAATCACTCTCTGATCTGTATATTTAGATTTAGATGTTCTATAACACAGAAATGTGCACAATATATAGCTATATAGGTAAATATACCACAATGCACTAAATATCTGCTATGGTACACTAAATATATACTATAATACCCTAAATATAGTGTATATAAACACTAAATATAGTATATATTTAGTGTATTATAGTCTATATTTAGTGTATTATGTACTATAATACACTAAATAATATATATACACAGTAAATATAGTTATATTTAGTGTATCATAGTCTATATTTAGTGTATTGTGTACTATAATACACTAAATAATATATATAGACACTAAATATAGATATATTTAGTGTATTATAGTCTATATTTAGGGTATTAGGTACTATAATATATAGTGTGTTATATATAGTATACTATATATAGTGTATATATACTATAATATATATTATATATATACTATATATAGTGTATTATATGCTGTAATACAACAAATATAGACTAAAATACACTAATTATATACTATCATATAATAATTATATACTATACATCCTCTGCATGTCTATATACTATATAGCTTTATTATATAGAGATCTATATATCATATATAAATACACTATAATACTACTACATATACTATATATAATCTATCTTTATATACTGTATATACTTTATATACTGTATATAAATACCTATTATACATAAATATTTATCTATATACTGCATATAATCAGATAAATATAGTACTGCTACCATCACTTTGTATTTAACATGATTTGTATCCAACACTGGAACGAAACAGCAATAACTTTATTTTATCTTCTCTAATAACTTGATTTTATCTTCTCTAATAACTTGATTTTATCTTCTCTAATAACTTGATTTTATCTCCTCTGTCGCTGCAACAAGGATTTGCATAAAAGTGATTGATTTGGCACAGTTTTAGGCGGGGGGGGGGAAACAAAAAGCTCAGTGTCAAGATTTCCTGCAGTTTTCCTTTTGATCCAGTGCTGTGGGTAAAGCAGCACTTCTGTCCTAAGCTTCTCAAAGCATTCTAAGAAATGTTGAGTAAAATCCTACAGCAGGGAAGAAAAAAAAGGTGGTTCAGTCACCTGTTGTCCAAATCACACTTGGGAATGGCATCAAAAAGGCAGCAGGGAGGGAAAAAGGTCAGTGTTTGATAAGATAATTTCATTTCTACAATTGGTGGGAATGCAACACGTCCCTTGGATGACTCGGGCATTCACAGAACCTGGGGGAATTTCCCCTGCTCCTGCTGTGGCTGCTGAGTTGTGGAGATCACTCCCAATGAGGAAATTTCCTTGGATTTATAGACATGAGAGTAGAAACAAGTGTCTTGGGTTGAGTTTTAGCACATTCCCCCCCCATCTCCTGACGTGCTGAGGGTGTGCCAAGGAATGTCCCAGGAACTGGCTTTCCAGGGCCACCACTGCCCCTGTTCCCAGCCCCTTGCTCAGGTTTCTCCAGCTGCAGATCTTTGTGGTTGCACCATCTCAAAGCAGCTTTAGTTGCACCTTTAGCCCCAGGATTTGGGAATTCTGTTACGGCTTTTAATGATTGAAGGACCGTTTAGGTTGGAAAAGAGCTCCAAGATCATCCAGTCCAGCTGTTGCCCAGCAGTGCCAAGCCCAGCACTGGCCCACGTGCTTTGGACACCCCCAGGGATGGGGACTCCACCATATATCCCTGGGCAGCCCCTCCCAAGGCTTTACAGCCCTTTCCATGAGGAAATTTTCCCTAATATCCAACCTAAACCTTCCCTGGTACAACTTGAGGCCGTTTCTTCCTGTCCTGTCACTTGGGAGAAGGGATTGACCCCCACCTGGCTCCACCCTCCTTTCAATAGGCTGCACCTCTGCCCCAGTCCCAGGATTTGGGAATCACTATTATACCCCTGTGTGGCTTTTCCCAGCAACCAAATTAAACCCTTCTATCTCTTTCCATTGCATTTTTAAAATTATATTGGTATTTTAGTGCCTTGTTTAGACTTCATTTTTGGTTTACATGGGTTTTGGTAGCTCAGTGTCTTAAGGAGATGGGTGTAGGACAGTCCTCTCAAATCATTTGCTGGGAAGTTCCTCCGATATTCATCCAAATTAGGTAGTAGGACAAGAAAAAAGGTGGAAATTGGAGGATGTGGAGGCAAAATAAATGCAGGAGTTTGTGGTCAGTGCTACCTCCCCTTCACATACAGTGGGAAGGAGGGGCTGTTTGGGGAGGTAGGGAACAAAGGGTTAATGGTGCTTGTGTTGTGCAAGGGATGAAAGACCCAAATCCATCAGTTATTCCACCCGGGAACAGTTTTCATCCTCATTTTATCAATAGCGTGTCATGGAATTGCAGAATGGGTTGGGTTGGAAGGGACATTAAAGTCCATCTCATTCCACCCCCTGCCATGGGCAGGGACACCTCCCACCAGCCCAGGTTGCTCCAACCTGGCCTTGGACACTTCCAGGGATCCAGGGGCAGCCACAGCTTCTCTGGGCAACCTGTGCCAGGGCCTCCCCACCCTCCCAGGGAACAATTCCTTCCCAATATCCCATCTAACCCTGCTGTCTGGCAGTGGGAAGCCATTCCCTGTGTCCTGTCCCTCCATCCCTTGTCCCCAGTCCCTCTCCAGCTCTCTTGGAGCCCCTTTAGGCCCTGGAAGGGGCTCTCAGGTGTCCCTGGATCCTTCCCTTCTCCAGGTGAACCCTCCCAGCCCTCCCAGCCTGGCTCCAGAGCAGAGGGGCTCCAGCCCTGGAGCAGCTCCATGTCCCCTCCAGACTCACTCCAGCAGCTCCACATCCCTCTGAAGTTGGGAGCCCCAGATATGATAATCAGTGATTTCCAAGTTTTGTAGTTCCAAATCCGCAGGAGGGGTTGGAATTAAGGTCTCGTTGGCATTTTCGGCTCCGGCGTTTTCTAAATCCCGTGTACTCGGTGTTCCTTTGCTGTCTGGGATTTAATGTGCTAATCCATGGAGGATGCTCCACGTGTGAATCTGAGCAGTCTGAGCGGCAGGAAGCGAAAAACGCAGTTGGATTTGGTTACCAAAATCCTGGAGGTTTTTCTTTGTGTGTGGATAATGTCAAATCCCAACTACGTCAAACGGATTCGTCTCGTGGGCTGTGTGTCCAGGGCACGAGGGAGCTTTGATATTTTTAGATATATATATATATTTTTTGCTGCTTTATGTATAGAAAATAAGTGTTCCAGGCCAGGTTGGACAGGTCTTGGAGCAATCTGGGCTAGTGGAAGGTGTCCCTGCCCATGGAAGGGATGGAATGAGGTGGGTTTGAAGGTCCCTTCCAACCCAAGCCTCTCTGGGATTCCCTGATAGTCCTTTGTGGCACATTGCAAATATGTCATATTTATATATCTTTGTTGCAAGGTAAAATAGATATTCAAATATAATATAAACGTGGCTAATTGCCCTAAATGAAGCTGCAAACCACTTCATTAACTAGTCCTGGGTTTTCTTGGCTGTAACTTGGAAAGCGGTTACGGTTTGGCATTAGAGCCTGGGACTGCCATTCCCATGTCTCCCAGCGTGCATTTTGGGAATTATTTCTCTAGAAGCTTTAATACTCCAACATTTTTATTCAGTTGAATGCCCTACTATGGTCCAAGTGCCAGTGATGTGCTTCCTCCAGTCCCAGGCATCTCGGAGTTGGCTCCGTCCCGTGGATGGTCACAGGCAAGCAGCTCTACCAAACTGTGTGAGGGAAGAGAAAAGTGTTAAATGCCTCAGGCAGGTGATGCCAGGGCTCAAAACTGTCTTCTTGCAGCTCTGGCTGCTGCAGAGCACATTTTGGG